CCTGAGTAGCCAGCCCTTTTTTCCATAACTGGTAGGCTCTCTTTTTTACCCTAATTTCCTTTAAAATCTCCCTGTTCAGCCAGACTGGTCGTCTTCCCCGTCGGCTTGCCTTTCAGCAGACTGGGACAGCCTGTTCCTGTGCGATCAGGACTTCCTTCTTGAAGCATGTCCATTCCTCCTGGACCCCTTTGTTTTCAAGGGTAGTTTCCCAGGGTACACTCTGAAGTAGTCTTCTGAACAGGCCGAAATCTGCCCTCGGGAAGTCCAGCATAGAGGTTTTATTGATGGGCCTCCTTGCATCCCTGAGTATTGAAAACTCTCTTATTTCATGGTCACTGTGCCCCAGATGGCCTCTGACCACCATATCTCCCACCAGCCCCTCTCTGTTTGTGAACAGAAGGTCTAGCAGGACCCCATCTCTGGTAGGCTCATTTACCAGCTGGAGCAGGAAATTATCCTCTATACGCTCTAGGAATCTCCTAGACTGCCTCTTCTCTGCTGTGTGGAGTTCCCAGCAGACATCCGGCAGGTTAAAGTCACCCACAAGAACAAGGGCTGGAGATTTTGAGACATCTGCCAGCTGCTTGTAGAATAATTCATCATCCTCATCATCCTGGTTGGGTGGTCTGTAACAGACTCCCACCAGGATATCAGCCTTGTTGGCCTTCCCCCTGATTTTGATCCACAGGCACTCAACCTTATCGTTACTGACTTCAAGTTCTACAGCGTCAAGAGAGTCTCTAACATATAGAGCCACCTCTCCACCTCTCCTACCTTGCCTATCCTTTTAGCCATCCATGGCAGCACTCCAGTCATGCGAGTCATCCCACCACGTTTCTGTGATGGCGACTACATCATACTTTCCTGCTGCACAATGGCTTCCAGCTCCTCCTGTTTGTTCCCCATGCTGCACACATTGGTGTACATGCACTTCAGCTGGGCTGCTGGTTTCACTCTTGATCCGGGCTTTCCACCCTTAGGCTCATCTCTGGAGAGCCCAGTTTCACTCCCTTCCCCTTTCAAACCTAGCTTAAAGGCCTCCTGATCAGCCCTGCCAATTTACGAGCTATAGTCCTTTTGTCCGTGCTAGATAGATGAAACCCATCTGATTTGAGGAGACTAGGTACCATGGAATTTGCCCCATGGTCAAAAAAAAACAAAATTCCACTGGTGGCACCAATCCTTTAGCCACCTATTGATGAGATGCGTTTTCCTACTCCTCTCCTCCTTCATCCCTGCTACTGCAGGAATAGAGGCAAACACCACCTGTGCTCCTGTCCCAGTAACTAATCTACCCAGTGCCTTGAAATCCTTTTTAATCACCCTGGTACTTCTTCCATTAATGTCATCACTGCCAGCCCGAACTACCAACAGTGGGTAATAATCAGAGGGCCTAATTAGCTCAGGAAGTCTCCTACTAATATCCCTCACCTGGGCCCCAGGAAGGCAGCAGACCTCCCTGTGGGAAGGGTCCGGTTGACATATAGGGCCCTCAGTTCCCCTCAGAAGGGAATCACCGACTACAACTATCCCTTTTCTTTATAGCTGTGGTTGCAATCCATCTGATAGACAGAGTGCAACCAGGAGACCCTCCAGTCAGATCTTCCTCCTGACTGTCCTCTACCTGATTCTCTGGGTCCAGGGCCTCAAACCTGTTCTTTAAGGGCACCCAGGGAGGTGATGGGAGTTTGGAGGGGATTCTTTTACCTCTCCAATCAGGGACCTGTTTCCATTCCCCCCCATATACTTGGTTTGCCCCATCTGCCTGATGGCAGGAGGGGCACAGGGTTTCACTGTCTCCTGGACTTCCTTGGGGGTCGAAAGGGTGTGACTCCACCAATCAATTTCCCTTTCACTTTCCCTGATGCTTCTTAGCCTCTCTACCTCTTCCTTGAGCTCTGCCACCAGGCACAGCAAATCATTCGCCTGCTTGCATCGTACACAGACGCCACTCACACTGTCCTCAGGTACTGACGCCAGGCTCAAACACTCTGTGCAGCCAGTGACCTGAACAGCTGTGTCCGTCTTGGTGTCCTTCTTGGGGGGTTCTGTGTCAACACACCCTTTGTGATAACAGCAGCAACAGCTTTCACTTTTTTGGAAAC